CATATATCTTCTAAATCGTATTTATTTAAAAATTCCTTAATCAAATCAATAACCCGAGATTTCACCGGTGTTTTTGACCCCACATAATCTAATTTTCCATCCAATATACTATTGAAATCACCTCCTAATAAAACTAAATAGTCCCGATCACACTGATCAAAAATACTTTCATCTAACTTCTTCAAAAATTCAATTTGTAAAGTTTCTTTATCTCTCGTTGGAAAATAAACATTAACCAATAGCATTTAACCCTTTGTATTTCACCTTTAAAAATAATGTATCTCCCCTCTTCATCTACTTTAATTTTTTTTTCTTCAAAATCTAAATGATTAGAAAATAAAATAAGAACCCCTCTACTATGGTTTGACCCATGACTAAAAAACATTGGCCCTCCCCAATCTTGTTTCCACCGCTCTTCTATCTCTACTGTACTATATGTTTCTTGTAAGAAAATTATACTATTCTTTTTAGTTTTGCACCATTCAAAAATATTCACTCTTTTTAACCTATCTCTTATTCCTCTAACATTTAATGTCGTGAAGGATAATTTCACTGCCATGTTATTTTATGTGTAATTATATCCAAAACCTTACATCGATAAACTCCAAAGAAACTTCCACATAATCTATTTCCACCGTGAGCAAATGTATAGAAAAAACTATCTGCAGCCAAACATACATGCATACTTATCGTCGAATTATATAAAAAATGCAAGCAGAATCCACCCCGTACCACACAACCCAACGCATTCATACACACAAGCATATTCACTACACACACAACACCCCCACACAAAACAACCCAAATCTGCTCTTCGGTGTTCGTAAACATCCGAGAGCAAGAGCCTCCCCCTTTCCTGTCAATTTAACTAGACCAATGACAGAATAAACCAATGAACATTTCTTCTTGCACAAGTCGATGAGAAATACGTTGTATTGTTATATAACCGTGATCTAATTAAAAAAAAAAAAAAAAAAAATACAAAGAGCTTTTATCCCTTAACAAATGCCTTGAATTGTATTACGGAACCCGCTCGTCATAACTAAGTTAAATGATTTTCCTAAAATTCATTACAGTGAATTGACCGGCCCGCGTACCTAATCACAATACGCACCTTCTAATTAAAAATAAAAAACACGATCCCAATAAACCAAATTCCCCAAACGACACCAGTTCGGCAACCTAATAAACTGTTCGTGCAAACCGAACCCATCATGCTATCATTTACCAAGTTCTATAATTTGCATAATATGCCTCACCCATGAATGAATAGACCGACTTCACGCACCTGATCATTTTGTATGCATTTCGTAAAAAAAACAACTCCTAAAGGGCGTTCCTGACAACTCGAAAGAACACCAAACATCAGCCCGACATAATGATAGGCAAGCATGCATACCGGATCCCAACACGTTCCTCCCTCTCAAAACATCACACCACCACCTGGCTTTAAAAAAAATAGTTTTGGCTGGGTGAACAGATCGGACCATTATCCAGATACTCGAATTGTTTTCACATTACAGAAAAAGTTTTAAATATGTATCAGTCATTTACTAAGATATGTGAATTTACATAGAATGCGTTATCGAAATAGAGCTCATTGTAATATAAAAAAAAGCCGTCGTTACCCAGATACTATGGCATTGTATAAAGGCGTTGCAATATACATCGTGAAAGAAAGCGGACGTTCAAAAGAGTTTATGGAAAGTACCTTGCAATAAAGCTCATTGTAATACCAAGAGCCGTGTTACCCAGATATTATGTTTTGCATAAATAGGCGTTACCACAAAGTACTTGAATATCGTGAAAGAGAACAAATCCCCAACAGACCAGCAAGGTTTATGGAAAGTACCTTGCAATAAAGCTCATTATAATACCAAGAGCCGTGTTACCCAAATATTACGTTTTGCATATATAGGCGTTACAACAAAGTACTTAAATATTGTGAAAGAGAACAGATCCCCAACAGACCAGCAAGGTTTATGGAAAGTACCTTGCAATAAAGCTCATTGTAATACCAAGAGCCGTGTTACCCAGATATTATGTTTTGCATAAATAGGCGTTACAACAAAGTACTTAAAAATCGTGAAAGAGAACAAATCCCCAACAGACCATCAATACATTTACCCCTCTATCTGAATTTACATAGACTTGCGTTATAAAATAATGAAATAGTCAATATACTGTTTAAGCATGTTTTGAGGGAAATGTTTCTTCTCACTTCACGCATGCATGCTTAGGGTTGTAATACAAATCCTGCTACAATTCTTTTTGTTTTCTTTTTTTTTTAAATACCAAGTTATATAATTTGCATATCATGCGTCACAAAATGATAAACAAATGATGAAACACTACTGCCAATTCGAAATAGCACCAGGGGGGTGTTTCACAAAGATCCTAAGTAGAACTTAACACTAAGTTGGACTTAAAAATTATGGACAGCCATCAGAGCCTTAAAATGAAATATATTCAAAAGCAGAAATTCAAGTATTTTAGACTTTTTATAAATTCTACATCCAGAACATGAAATCTCCTTGATGATAGAAAATATGAATGATTTGAATTAACATTTTATGCCTTTTACAATAACTTTTACAAAATGTTTTCAAAGATGCTAATGGCTTTCCATAATTTTTAAGTCCAACTTAGAGTTAAGTTCTACTTAGGATCTTTGTGAAAAAACCCCCAGGGAATGTATCCGGACCGGTCCCCAAGCATTTTAGCCCCCACAATAAACAACACCACCTGGCACCATTGAAATATTTTGGAAACCTCACTCCTACACATACTTAACCCCTTTATTCCACAAGTGGCAAAGCTTAGAAAAGGGAACTGAAACCAACAGCCCTTGGCGCGACAATCTTATTAAAACATTATTATTGCTTTGGTTAGAACAATTAATGAACAACCTCTGGCAAAAAAAAAAAAAAAAAAAAAAAAATTGCCTGAAAATCCCCCTTTTTTCTCAATGTTGTCACTTCATCTCCGATATTCAACATTTAAGGCATTATGGAGACGAAGTTGCACACAAATCAAACCTCGCCTTCCACATACCCAACAACGATGAGAAACCCGAGGCTTCGCTTTATATTTCATATACACTGAAGAAAAAAAAAAAAAAATGTGTGTGATATTAACCCTTGGTAAACGTACGATAATCTTCTCAAGTTTTGTATCATTTTTTTTTTTAAACTAAAGAAACGAACAGAATATGTATATATGTATATACATCCTTTTCTTCCTCTTTTTGAACAATAATTAAAAAAAAAAAAAAAAAAAAACACCATTGTCATATACGTGACAGGCTAGTTTAGCCCAAAAATTTCACATTGGCTAATGTGCAGTAAACATAAACAATACTTTATAACTAGTACTTTCCTTTTCTTCCTTCCCCCTTCATTTAATTATTTCCTCGCTTATTCCTTCTCTTTCCCTCCCTTCTCCTCTCCTTTCCCCCTCTTCCTTCTTTTCCCCTTTCTCCCTCTTATCATTTCTCTTCTATTTTTCCTTTCCAAACTTCCACATTCAACCTGTCGTTTTCAATAGTATCCCCAAGTTGAAAGCACGTGAAATCTCCTCCATGCAGCCTTCATTAATGGGGAGGTAGATGGGGATGAAAATAAATTCATCTCTTCCATACCAATAGATCGCTGACAGAGCACACACACGCACACACGCGCACAGACACACACACCACATACTGAGAACAGGGTTCAGAATGATCAACATGTATAAACGATAATCCTCTTAATAATGTTTTATTACTTTACAAGTTTACATTAAGTTGTAACTTACACATCATTAATCAATTTCATTCGCTATCTTAAGAAAATACGTTATCTCTCTTAAACATCAATTGTTAAGTTTTAACAATATTAATATTGATCATCAATGATAAAGATTGTATATACTGTAATCCAGAACTATCCATCTACTACGACAACCCTTATTTGGAGCATGGACACATACAATGAAATATTGATACTGATGAAGCTAGAGTGCGTGAACAAGACATATCATTTCATTATACAGTTATCCATTCATTCATACATTAATCCATACATCGATTCATACATTTATCCATTCATTCATACATTAATCCATACATCGATTCATACATTAATTCATACATTAATGATTACATTAATTCATACATTAATCCATACATTAATTTATACATTAATTCATACAATAATTCATACATTAATTCGTACATTAAGTCATACATCAATTCAGACACTAATTCATACATCAAGTCATACATTAATTCATACATTAATTCATACATTAATTCATACATTAATTCATACATCAATTCATACATCAATTCATACATTATTTCATACATTAATTCGTACATTGATTTATACATATAATTCATACATTAATTCAGCCATTAATTCAGACACTAATTCATATATCAATTCATACATTAATCTTACTACTATTCCTTGAGTAATTGAGCGTCAGGCTCGGCTAAAGCCGGGGTTATAATATGATTGCAGGGCCCTCAGGGAGAACAATATCAATACTGATGGAGCTACTCTGGGTTAAAAAGAAAACATTAGAATTATTATTATTTCTATTATTATACATGTTATTTTTATTTCATTATATGCTTTACATTTATATCAACATAACTTTGTATATTTATAATACTGAATATTGTTTTACCCCTAGTAATAGATTTTTGACGCCCAGATTGAAGTTTCAATAAATACTGTATACATACGAAATGGTTATTAAACATCACAATACGCGCTACATAACATTTCAAGGGACATTTTTTTATAAAAACGAGACGGCCGTCATTTTTCATATAATCTTGTCTTAAATCGCTTGAGATTAATATTTTTCAAAATGCGTTGAAATAAAAGAATTGTCTCGTTTGTCATTCTACTTTTCGTGGTGCGTTCGAGTAAAGTTGAAAAAGAAATGTTCAAAATTAGTGTAATACCTCTAGGATTACTTAGTCTGTTAAGGTCACTGTCGCAGACCACACGGGGTCAGCCTCGTACGACAATGTGTTAGACCATCTCGTAGTAGAAAACATTTATAAAATCAGGTGGTACATTTGCATTCATACTGAAATTCTCAATATGCTATATCTTGCACTTCGAAGACGAGGTATCTAGGAAAAGGAATTGCTCAAAGAATATTATGTCGTTGCACTCTCCGAAAAATTCATTTAAAAAAATCCTAATATTGCAGCTCATAACGATATTGAGGCTACCCCTGCTTTACCACCAACAGCCACATAATCATATTGTCACATTCTTCTACTCGTTAGGGATCAAGTCATTGGTTCTGAGATTAATCGTAAGATATTTCGTCAATTGATCAAAGAAATAATCCTGTCCCCTCACGTCCTCAGTCCAATGGAGGTAGGGTCTGCCGTCACTGAGATACAGCCTCGCCAAGAAAGGTATCTCATCATCTGGGATGTCTTCGATGAAGACCGCGACGACGAACTCCGTCTGAGTGTCACTCACATGGTCCATTGCGGTGCGGAGCTTGAGCATGAACCAGCGATCGCGCACGGCGGCTCTGCTTAGTAGAATGACGGTCTTGTAACTCCTGCTCACCACGTAGTCAATCGCATCCAAGTAATGCATACCCGGCACGAGGTCTTCGTCACCAAAGACGTTCCTCTCAAACTGCGGGAGTCTTTCTTCGAGAGTTGGTAGAAGATGTTCGCGAGCCCACTCTTCGTCATCCTCGTGAAAGATGACATTCATGTCGAACTCATAATCATTGTGGTCTCGAGCGTCTCGCATCTCGTTATACCCAACGGCGGCTAATTTCAAGAGAAAGAGTTTGTACCTCAACTGCCATCGATAGTGAAATACGAGTATGACGATGACAACAAAGGATATGATGGCGAGGGAAGTCAAAGAATAGAGGGCAATATTATTATAAGGGCTACAAAGCGTTTTGGAATCAAATTTAAACAGCGGTTTCTCGCGAAGAGGCTCTAAAGACGCTGACGAACAAATAGTTTTCTTCTTGTTCTTGAGTACAAGTGGTCCGCTAATCCAGGTAAGAAGCCAACTTAGTTCACAAGTGCAGTCAAGTGGGTTCCTTGAAAGATCGACAGATGTAAGAGAAGGCCCAATCAGTTTGAATGTACTTTGGTTAAGTCTTGTTAATTTGTTTTCTGATAACAAAAGTGTTGTCAGCCTGCTATTGTTAAAAAACAGGTTTTTATCGAGGTATGTCAAACGGTTATTATGGAGATCAATGTTTGTAATTTGTCCAAAAATGTTGAATATGTCAATAGGAAGTTGCTTTATCTTGTTTCCCCTTAAGATTAGCACCCGAAGGAATTTCAACGCCTCAAAGGCTAATGGATGAAGAAATGTAATTTGACAGTGTTCCAAACTGAGAATTTGTAGAGCAGATAGTGGTTTAAATACCAACGGTGGTAAATACTCTGCACGACCATATCTTGGGCCAAGAGAATTTCGACTCAGATCCAAAGTCGTCAGACTGACCAGTCCATCGAAAAGAGAGATATTTTGAGTCCAAAGTTTTTCCAAGATAAGCTTGGTCTTTCTGAGGTTCAAATGCACAAGTGACTGTAGATTTTTAAAGGACTCCCCAGCCTCTAAATATATCGGTGGGATATTTAACTTATTGTAAAGGAAAAGAGATTTTAAGCTCGGAGCGACCAAGTAAAAACAAAGGATATTACATTCTGACAAATCGATAGTTCTAATTTGATTTAGTCCCATAAATGAATCCCTGTCCAGGTATGTAAGATATTTGTTTGAGTGCATGTCTACAACCGTTAAATTTTGCAAACCGAGAAAAAAGTATCGGGAAACTTTAGTCAAATGATTACCGGATAGATCCAACTCAGTTAAGCCTATTTTCCATGAACAATTGTAGGTGTTTAAATTTGTTATGCTATTAAATTGCAATTTCAAAACCCTAATATCCTGCATGTTTTCAAAGAATTCTGGTTCGATTGTTTCGATATAGTTGTCACTGATATCAAGTAATCTAGTACGCGTCAAATTCGAGAAGACGAATGGATAGAGGGCGCGTACATTGTTCATAGAGAAGTCAAGCACTGAAAGATAATGACCCTGCAGCGGATCAAAGAAATCTGCTGGAAATTCAGACACGCAATCGACGAGTTTAAATTGCTCTATAGTCGACCGTGAGATGCCAATGAATATATTTCTCAACACCTCGAATGACAAAGGAATGTGTCCGACCCACAGTGACCTTACATGCAATGATGCGATCACATCGGGATCAACTAATATGATATGAATTTCAAATAGAACCAAAGTCTCACATTGACATGAAATTTCGAAAGTTTCTGGTTTGATGTGCGTTAGACCATTTGCACCCAATTCAAGACGCTTAACTCTGCCGCAATGACTGATGTTAATAAAAGTAAGATCGTTTTGGTAAAGGTTTACACTTTCTAAATTCGGGCTCCATTTTAGCGTATCGTTGGGAAGTGATTTCAAATCCGAATACATTAAGTTTAGAAGTGACAGCTTCTTAGCCCACCTGAAGAGCTCTGTGTCGGGAAGAACAAGATCATAGTTGAAAGACAAATGTATATCCTGCAATTCTTTGAGAGGGTAAAATGCCCCAGATTCAATCATCCTGATGTCGTTATCGGCAATATCCAATTTGGTAAGGAGAGGGTATCTTTTAAACGAAGAGTTTAAGAGAGAGGTGAGTTTGTTGTACCTCAGGCTCAGAACTTCAGTGTTTTCAGGAAGATTTTGAGGGACAGAATCCAAACTTCTTTCATCACAATTAGCTTCCTTCTTCTCAACGTCCTCGCGACAGGGCGATCTCTTCAGATCCCACTGTGTTATGGGAACATCATCTCCATGCAGGGTTTGGATACAGAAAAAGATGATCAACAGAAGAAGTACGCGGTGTTCGAAAGCCATAATGCCTGATTTCGGGTTTCCGTCTGAAAGAAAAACATATAGGGTCAATTTATCTCACTAAGTTGTTATATCTTGCTTTTGTTTGCTGTATAGGCGATTACACCCTCGACAATTCAATAACGCATGCAGGAGTCGTGCTCTTCAGAATTTGTGCAACGTTGGTAGAAGAGCCTCATGCATGTTGTCTTCTTCATCTTTATCATCATCATCATCATCTCTACTACTACTACTACTGCTACTAAACTACTACTACTACTGCTGACGCTGCTTCTACTACTACTACTACTACTACTACTACTACTACTTCTACTACTACTACTACTACTACTACTACTACTACTACTACTACTGCTACTACTTCTACTACTACTACTACTACTACTACTACTACTACTACTACTGATACTACTACTACTACTGCTGATACTATATAGTACGAGTACTACTGCTATTAGTACTGCTACCCACACTTAAATATCTTCGAAACGAGACATTTTCGTATTGTTTTGGTTCATATGAGATATTTTTCAGGCTGCAATTTCAACTTTACTTAAGCTAACTTTAATGGCATTATAAGCTTACCAAACAATGAGGCGACACACTTGACGAGAGTAAAACTGTACCGTTTTAACTAAGGTTCATGGAGAAGAAAACTCCGGCCGAGTAGATTGACGCTCCAAAATAGATCCCTCACTTATGATTGGATGGTTTGTAAAATGGAAATGGTTCTGAGCATTTACTCGAAACTATTCACGTTTTAATGCATATCCTGGACGAGAAAAAGAGATCATTTAATCAAGGTTGTACTAAATAAAGTGTCTTTTACAGTCATTATGCAAAGCGAAACTCGAAACATGCATTTGGGTTTTATTGGTGCCTCCGTCCAGTATCCATTAGCATTAGGAACGCCATGAAAATAATATCAACAGGAAAGATATTGATATTTGAACTTACGAGCATACATTTAATTTCTCTCATTCACTTTTCTATTCACATTAAAACAATAATTATGCACGTAATTGGTATAGAGTTTCACGGGTAAAATTGTTTAAAGTAGGAGCACTGGGATATATTGATGAAGGATCTTGACTCTCATAAGGAAGATGTTAGGTTCGATCCTTGTTTGGTGCTTACATTCTTAGTGAATGTGTTTTGCCCATGCAGATATGTCCCTCTCGACCCAGGTATATCAAATGGGTTTCTGTGGCCCCCAGTAAGAGCAGTATTAATACAGATGTGGCTACCCTGTGCAAATAAGACCAAAGTATCCATTATCTATTATAAAGGGCGCAAGAAGACAGTAGTGAGCTTGTGTTGTGTACAGGAATGAATGATTTACGGAATAAGACCAAATGGAGAAAAATGAGAGGGAGAGAGAGAGAGAGAGGGAGAGAGGGGAAGGAGAGAGGGGGAGGGAAGAAGAGAGAGAGAGGGGGAGGGAGGAAAGGAGAGAGAGAGAGAGAGAGAGAGGGAGAGAGATGAAGAGAAAGGGAGAGGGGAGAAAGATAAAGATAACATGCTAAGTTGTAGTTGTAGTGGGATTATGTGTGGTCGAGTCAATGAGGACATGACGTCACAAACTGATTAGCATAATGGCAATTTGTGTTGTGATTCTCATTGTTCCATAGTTTTACTTACTTTTTTTTCAAAAATGCATAACTTTTTTATTAGTTATCCGATTTTGCTCAAACTTTTTTAGATTGGTTAGTCTGATTTTTCTGCTTCTATCGAAAGTAAATTATTTTTGGAGTGGACGTGCCCTTTAAGTTTAACGTAGACGTTTGATTTCGAGCGATACAAAATTAAAGATTTAGATTTCTACTCGTGAACATTAGGCTTAAGAGAAAAAACAGAAAAATGAAACACATGCATTGTGCAAGAAAAGGGAACAGGAAGGGAATGAGAGAGAGACAGAGAGACAGAGAGACAGAGAGGGAGAGAGAGAGAGAGAGAGGGTAGAGGGAGGGAGAAAAGAGCGAGAGTGGGAGAGTGATAGTTTAAATGAAGTTTTCTTATGGATGATAGGGCGTAAGGTGGTTGACTCTCTCATTGAGAGAATGAGGGGAACAACTAATAATGATGAGCCGGTCTTGTTCAGCAAATAGCACAATGTGATACAAAGTTTCTATTCACTTCCAAATAATGTAATCTGGTTTCAGACCTATAATTGATTCCTTAAGCGAGAAATTTTCCGGTCCAAAATACTTTGAGGTAATGACTAGAAAGCGACGGAAAGACGATGAAGCAATAAGTAATTGTGAGAAAAGAAAATGAGAGAATAATGGTGGGTAACTGATCAAGTTCCTTGGCAAAAATTTACAATGACATAAATGATAAAGAACATAAACTAATAACCAGAGGAGTTTACCAACAAAATACCTATTTTGCTTAATATTGTTTAGGTTTGTAATGATAAAATAAATACCGTGATAATACCATTTTGATTATGCATTTTTGATGCTATATCACATAGGCCTATATTGTGATACTGATACTACTACTACAACTACTGCTGCTACATCTTTGTTTGGGTTCATATGAGATATTTTTCAGGCTGCAATTTCAACTTTACTTAAGCTAACATTAATGGCATAAGCTTACCAAACAATGAGGAGACACACTTGACGAGAGTTAAACTGTGCCGTTTCAACTAAGGTTCATGGAGAAGAAAACTCTTGAGCATTTTACCATAACTTTGTTCAACCGGCCCAGTAGATTGACGCACCAAAATAGATCCCTCACATTGATTGGATGGTTTGTAAAATGGAAATGGTTCTGAGCATGTACTCGAAACTATTCACGTTTTAATGCGTTCCTGGACGAGAAGAAAGATATCATTTAACCAATTTTATTGTACTAAATATAGTGTCTTTTATAGTCATTATGCAAAGTGAAACTCAAAACATCCACTTGGGTTTTATTGGTGCCTCCGTCCAGTATCCATTAGCATTAGGAACGCCCAGAAAATAATACCAACAGGAAAGATGTTGATATTTGAACTTACGAGCATAAATTTAATTTCTCTCAGTCACTTTTCTATTCACATTAAAACAATAATTATGCACGTACTTGGTATAGAGTTTCACGGGTAAAAATGTTTAAAGTAGGAGCACTGGGGTATATTGATGAAGGATCTTGACTCTCATAAGGAAGATGTTAGGTTCGATCCTTGTTTGGTGCTTACATTCTTAGTGAATGTGTTTTGCCCATGCAGATATGTCCCTCTCGACCCAGGTATATCTAATGGGTTTCTGTGGCCCCCCAGTAAGAGCAGTATTAATACAGATGTGGCTACCCTGTGCAAATAAGACCAAAGTATCCATTATCTATTATAAAGGGCGCAAGAAGACAGTAGTGAGCTTGTGTTGTGTACAGGAATGAATGATTTACGGAATAAGACCAAATGGAGAAAAATGAGAGGGAGAGAGAGAGAGAGTGAGGGGGAGAGGGGAAGGAGAGAGGGGGAGGGAAGAAGAGAGAGAGAGGGGGGAGGGAGGAAAGGAGAGAGAGAGAGAGAGAGAGAGAGAGGGAGAGAGATGAAGAGAAAGGGAGAGGGGAGAAAGATAAAGATAACATGCTAAGTTGTAGTTGTAGTGGGATTATGTGTGGTCGAGTCAATGAGGACATGACGTCACAAACTGATTAGCATAATGGCAATTTGTGTTGTGATTCTCATTGTTCCATAGTTTTACTTACTTTTTTTTCAAAAATGCATAACTTTCCTATTAGTTATCCGATTTTGCTCAAACTTTTTTAGATTGGTTTGTCTGATTTTTCTGCTTCTATCGAAAGTAAATTATTTTTGGAGTGGACTTGCCCTTTAAGTTTAACGTAGACGTTTGATTTCGAGCGATACAAAATTAAAGATTTAGATTTCTACTCGTGAACATTAGGTTTAAGAGAAAAAACAGAAAAATGAAACACATGCATTGTGCAAGAAAAGGGAACAGGAAGGGAATGAGAGAGAGACAGAGAGACAGAGAGACAGAGAGGGAGAGAGAGAGAGAGAGGGTAGAGGGAGGGAGAAAAGAGCGAGAGTGGGAGAGTGATAGTTTAAATGAAGTTTTCTTATGGATGATAGGGCGTAAGGTGGTTGACTCTCTCATTGAGAGAATGAGGGGAACAACTAATAATGATGAGCCGGTCTTGTTCAGCAAATAGCACAATGTGATACAAAGTTTCTATTCACTTCCAAATAATGTAATCTGGTTTCAGACCTATAATTGATTCCTTAAGCGAGAAATTTTCCGGTCCAATATACTTTGAGGTAATGACTAGAAAGCGATGGAAAGACGATGAAGCAATAAGTAATTGTGAGAAAAGAAAATGAGAGAATAATGGTGGGTAACTGATCAAGTTCCTTGGCAAAAATTTACAATGACATAAATGATAAAGAACATAAACTAATAACCAGAGGAGTTTACCAACATAAATACCTATTTTGCTTAATATTGTTTAGGTTTGTAATGATAAAATAAATACCGTGATAATACCATTTTGATTATGCATTTTTGATGCTATATCACATAGGCCTATATTGTGATACTGATACTACTACTACAACTACTGCTGCTACATCTTTGTTTGGGTTCATATGAGATATTTTTCAGGCTGCAATTTCAACTTTACTTAAGCTAACATTAATGGCATAAGCTTACCAAACAATGAGGAGACACACTTGACGAGAGTAAAACTGTGCCGTCTCAACTAAGGTTCATGGAGAAGAAAACTCTTGAGCATTGTACCTTAACTTTGTTCAACCGGCCCAGAATATTGACGCTCCAAAATAGATCCCTCACAATGATTGGACGGTTTGTAAAATGGAAATGGTTCTGAGCATGTACTCGAAACTATTCACGTTTTAATGCATATCCTGGACGAGAAAAAAGAAATCATTTAATCAAGGTTGTACTAAATAAAGTGTCTTTTACAGTCATTATGCAAAGCGAAACTCGAAACATGCACTTGGGTTTTATTGGTGCCTCCGTCCAGTATCCATT